AAATTAAATTCATAATCAGGCATAAATTAGAAAAAATGGAAGTGAATTAGAATCTAACCCTAGAAGAAGGTAGACTGTTAAGCTCTGCAATTGCAACCTCATGACGTTTAATCTGCATAAAATTGACGAGTTACGAAAGGTTGCATTAGCGTAATTTGAATGAATTAAGTTATTTAATTGAGATGAGGAGAGAGAAAGGTAGAGAAATACCTCAACAAGATCAAATTTGGGGTCTGAAGAAGGAGAAGTTTGGGAAGACGAAGATGATGCAGCAGCTGTCATTGCTGGGCACCTTTTAAGAGAATTGCGCACTTGCGCAGAAATCTACTCTTTCGATTAGTAGAGACTAGGGAGTAATAATGCTACGAGTAGATAATACAGAGTACTTATGAAATTAGGAGTTGCGGGGCCGGAGCATATGCCGCATGCCAAACTTGGTATACGTTTTTTTAAAGGTAAGAAGAAGGATCTTAATTGTACCTCGATCCTTACTTTTTTTTTTTTCCTGGTATTTGCGGATCAGACATTTTGAGAGCGAGGGAGAAAAAGTAACGGATCTCTATCCTCAAAATGTCTCTTATGGAGATTGAACCCCCCAACCTCAAAATTGGAAAGTGTAATCTTTCTCAATAAACTGTTTTAGTACCTATACCAGTAGATACGATCTAGGGGGAGAGGGGAGATCAAAGTTTAAATTTGAATTGATTTTTTAGAAACAAAAGAACATCCAAGTTTACATAACCTTATAGAATAAATTTGCTCAAGTGAATGTGGGAGTCAGCTAATTTAGTTGATTAAAGTTTTGTGGGCGGTTTTAAGATAACCCTTCTCCCAAGGAGTTAAGTTTAAAGAATCGTTGAATGGTAGAATTGAGTATATTTCCTCATTAATCATTACAAACAAACCACTGATAATTAGGCATGACTAGTGCAGTAGTGCGTAACTGCGTATAGACATTTAGCATAACATAATCACCGTCTTAAAATGAATTTTAGACAGTTTGCAGATTAATTAATAAGCTGAAACATTAGACAGCACGCAACAAATTGTTAGTTCTTACAACAATGGTTACTGTTTATGCTTTTAACATCGTGAATCCCCTCACGAGCTTTAAATAAAGCTGAGAGAAGATGATATAGATGGAAAAATGGAAAAATAATATGTATAGTTCCTGTATTACATGAACAAGTAAGGCCAGAGATATATTATTGACAAACTCTAGTCATCAGTATCCCTGGCTAGCGTTTTGGAGTGCAACGACAGCAAGAGTAACAAGGGATGCGTAAATTGAATTAGGCATCTTCTGCACCACTTTCCCCACGCCTGGGACACCTTCTGTTGCCCTCTTTGTTGCTAAAGCTACTGTTGGTGCCACCACCAGACTGATGATCAGTCCCTGGCTCACCGTGCTAAACGTGTCAGCAGTCAACTCCAGCATGAATTTCACAAATTCATCTCGGTTGATTCCCCCATCCAAATTGATGTCACACTTCTGCAATTATAAAAAATTGCCAAACATTAAAGCCATCCCATTTCGAAAAAAAAAAAAAGAAAAAAAAAAAGGTAAGCAGTGCTGAGTGCTGACACCTGAGGAGTGGCAAGAGATTCATGCCAAAATTAGCAGAAAAACTGATTTCAAAACAGCAAATTCTATGATCTAATATAGTGAGTTCTATATTCAATTAATACCATAAGCAGGTCATAGTCGTCACTGTATATTAAGTGGAGATAAGATTCAAGAATAGAAATGGTCTTATTTTCTGTTGTTGGCTTAGTACTTTTCACCTTAAAAGAACAAGTTTCAGGAAATACATGTTCAGATAAAGGCAACAAAAGTTCAAAGTACAACTTACAGAAGTGCATACGAGCTATGGAAAATAAAAGGGGTTCATAATAAATAAAAAGTTTCACTCCAATAAGTCAATAACAACGGATAAGTTTTGATAAGTTCAAAAAATGGTTTGACAAATGAAAGAACAAAGCCTTTACAGAGATGCTATCAGACATGCAAAATTTCAAAGTGTTATAAAGCTGAAAGTACCTCCATCAAGCCTCTGACTTCATCTTTTGTTGGAGGATCAAAGTGTGGCCCTGGTAAGTACTTATTGATATCACTGTAAAACAGCAAGGCATTTGTACCATATTGTTAACATGGGAACCATAGTTTTACTTAATACTAGACTTTGACGAAGCTAATGGAAAAAATCACTCACTTGTAAACTATCAGGACAGCTATATACAGCTCTTCAAACGACAGTGTGACACTTCCAGTCTGAGTCTGTACACGATCAAACACTTTGTCTGTTATCTTCCTGATTTTTTTCTTCCTCCATTCCTTACCTACGCAAGATGGCAATATGACCCATCATCAGGGTGTATATAGTAATCAAGTAATTACACTGACATAAATTTCAATTAATCAATAAGAAGATATATTTTAAATATTTTATAAACCTCAACAAAGCATCATTCAATCCTTTTTGTCACTCAAGCGTTTTCTATAATCCATACCTATAAAGGGTAGACTTTTATAGATGAAGGAGTTGATATGTAACCTACTCCATGCCATTCGAAATGAAGTATTTAGGCTTTGTTCTTTTCACATTAAAGAAACCCACCTACTGAAGTTGGGTAGTTATCTAATCTTATGAGTGAAAATTTTGATGACTGATGTCTTCGACAAGCTGTAAATAAGGGGGTTTCAGAAAAATGTTTAGATAAGTTCAAATGAGGGTTATAGGCTACACGAGTTCAATTCACAATTATGTTGTTCTAGTAAGTATAGATTAGTTCCAATAATCATATAAGGTCCAATAAGTTCTAATAAGTGTTTTTCTAGTTAAAATTAAGCAGCATTTATGTGATTCTGTTTAATAAGTAACCATTTCTTACTTCTTTACCTCATCTACACTCCGTGTTATGCAAGTTTACACTAGCTATTTTATTCCTCAACTTGCAAATAGCTTAGCCCGCATCTATGGAATTCTGGAGAACTTACAACAAGTTAGATTTCATCACAAAACCAATTGACAAAATGACTTAGCTTACTGCGCTAACCCAAGTAAGATTCTATCTCAAAACCAATTGACACGAAGACGTACCAGACTCCAATACTCGATAGTTGCCTAGTATATTCGAAATCGACTGCCTTCTCCAAAGCAGGACAGCTCAAAGCCTCAAACTGACTCACATCACATGTACACATAAAGCATACATGGGATTCTCCACTTTTTCTAGATTCTAATAGTATCACAATCTATACACTACAACCTTAAAACTCCTATAATATCATATAAGAACAAATTTGATAGATTTTCTGCCTCTCACTAGAAGCAAATCCGAGAGATAGCTACATGATTAACTAATTTAAGTTGATCATGGGTTCATCATGATAACAACAATTATAACGATTAAGTAAATAAAAATCAACAATTCTTCAATAACACTTACAAAACCCCATTGAAATCAAGGGCATTTATTAAATTTCAACATTAAACACCAAAAAATAGAAAGCAAGTATAAGTGAATTCGAACAAACTGTAATCAGCTTAAAGAGTGAGATTAAATTACCTTGGATTTTGTCCAAAATCTGACCCATTAGCCGCTTAAAGAGTAAAAGAAATTTCCCAGTCTTTGAGTTTGCAAGATCCGAAGAAGATGAAGAACCACCTGAAAACAAATGATGTAAAACTTGCTAAATACCCAAATCACAAAAGTCCCAGATTTTGATTAATTTAATTTTTAATTTTTTGGGGTGCGAAATTTGTGTTATTTTAACCAAAAATTGAAGATGATAGTTTGAATATTTCAGAGGTTGTATGGTCCACTGTCCTTACATGTGGCATTTTTTAGTAAGTTGTGTGAGTGTTTAGTGAAGCTTCTCTACCTTGGATTATCATTAATCATATCTTCAATTTGGATCTTTTTTATTGAGTGCTACTTTGATTGCACGTCTTGTATTTGTATAGATTCCAAATGGGTCCAAGATTATTATTTGTTTCTATTGAATGTAATCAATGTTAATTGCCAAAAGATTCCAAATACAATACGAGTGTTTAACTTTTTGAAGGAATCTTAGTACGGAATAAGTGTTAACACCGTGTACAAATGGTAAATGAATATACAAAGCGTGACTCTTTTCCTTAACATGAATAATATCTTTAACTAAGAAAGGACCATCATGAGTTAAACACGCAATTAGGGGCGATATCAAGATATTGACATGAAAATATGAAACATTGACTATGTATTGTGATTTGAGACTATAATGTATTATATAAACTAATCGTGTCAAACATCAAGTTACAATTGTGTTTAACATTTATTTTTTATGATCGTGTTCCATTCAAAATAATATGAGTACTCTTTGTAAGTGTGCATAGCTAATGCTCCATAATGATGTTTGAAATGATGGTGTGTGTAATGTACATGTACATAACGTAATATGTCACATTTGCATGAGTCAAGATCACACTTCCCATTGTGTGATTTGTGTCTCATATTCTACTATCTATAAACTTATTCAAACACACATAAATATTACATATTTGCCTCTTTTTTTATTTGAAACATGTGCTCTAAACAGATATTATAAAAAACTAAAGATGAATGATACAAACAAGCAAAAAATTCAGATACAGGAACAAAATATATAAAATCATTCACTCATTACAATCTAAATGAGAAAAAGTTTAAGCATCAAACAACATGACAAGCAAAGAGAAAATGATTCCAATCATGTACATGCACGTTTCAAACCTTCACTCTATTCTAAATTAAATTTTAAGTGTTACTTGTTTTATTATTGGACTTGTGTGCTAATAACTATAAATTACAGAGTACTTCACATCTTATATTTAACTCATTTAAAGACTAAGGGGATTATCCCCATATCCCCATAAAAAGAATAATCAACCCAACCCCGGTCTCTACAAATTCTTAGTTGTTCTCGATTTATCTTTTTTATTCTCAACATGAACAAAACTAATACGAGTACAAGTAAAATAAACGAAATATAAAATCTTGGACACACCTAGTTCTAAGCCTCTACATGTGTCGGGACTCGGAACAAGATAGAGGTGCAACACTCCGTCCCTCCACTCTCCTCGAGGGAGTAGTATACCAAGCCCAGCAAGAAACAGACCAACAAAGGAGCCGAGAATTCGTCGTCTATCCAATCACCCAAAGTAACGACTAAACAGTCCAATTTCAGTCAATATTACTGTACAAAGATTCAAGCTCTAAAATAAACCCCAATACCAATTCCCAGAAAAACTCAATTCTCCAGAAAATACACATCAAAGAAGAAACTTCAAGCAACAATGGCGGTCATTTTTTCTCACTTCCACACACCATCAATTACCATGGTCTTACCAAAAGTTGCTTCTTGCTTTTGCCGCTCCTTATTTTCTCAATCTACAATTTACAATCATCAACTTCTTCATTACCCAATTCAAAATCCCATTTTTAATTTCAATTCTAATTGTCAAAGGATTCGAACTCGTGTTACAAAATTTTCTGAAGCTAGCAGTGTTACTGATGTAATTAGCAGCCCTAATCTTGTTGCTTTGGAGTATGCTGACCTTAAGCTTCCAATTAATTGCGAGGTTTAATTCTCCCACATTCATTTCTTTCGCTTTTTTAAAACTTTCCCAGTAATTTCTAGCTTAATTTTGATTATTTTGTTTCTGTTACATCGAACTTACATTCAAAGATTGATGCTTGTAATTTTTATACGAGACGGACTTACGATAATTTATCGTGAGCTCGAGGTAGCCTTTTTAAGAGTGGACTCATACTCTTTGATTGGTTTCTTGGTAACTTGAAATTGTTTGTATTGTGTAGTTTGATGGAGCAGATTTTCATGGTTTTATTTTGTGTTGTAGGAGGTGGGTAATATTCGAGTCCGGCAGCATGTTAATCCTCTTAGTACAGCATTATCTGTAAGTGATGTTCACTAATTTACTTCCAAATTATGAATTTGGTTTCTTTAATCGTTCTAGTTTCGGGGTTATTTAGAGCATTGAAGTTGATTTATGTGATTATGCTGCAATTGATAGGTACCAGCAGAGGTGCCTGATTGGAATGATGTGTTTAAAGACTCCTCATTGCCTCTGATGGTGGACATTGGCTGTGGTATTGAATGCGTTTCTTCTAAATATATTAATGTCTCTCATTGGTTTGATAGTGGTTGAATGAGATATCTCATATCTTACATCGTTTTCGAGTCAAAAACTCACAATGTACTTGAGCATAGAACCAAATTGTTTATCATGAGCTCATGACCTTAGGAAAGATGAAACATCGAAGCAAAGGGAAGATGGATGGGCTAATGTCTAAATGTGAAAGAGAAATTGTGAATGAGGGGAATGGCATAGTATCAACTTAGGATAAGATATGCACCATTTTTTAACAGTGTGACATGCAGACTGTTGTCTCCACATCCGTGTTGCAGATTATATAATTGTTATCAATTTCCATTCAAGCGTCAACTTCCCCTTCCTATTACTCCTTTTATTTTGCCTCTTCTCTCTTCCTAGAATCCTAGGTGCATTCGTTGAAATTCTTAGTATGCCATTAAGATTTGTGTGACATTTCAGCCTTCAGATTTTTATCAGAAGAGTTTCTAGTTATACTTGGGCTATTTTCGCCTACTTTGACATCTGGCTGATGCTACTATGTGTGTAGGGACATGTTAATCATGAATAAGGTGATGATGGAAGAGTTTCCAGTGTCTTTTTTCTATAGCCATTTAGCACCACAATTACACCCTGTGCTTCTATAAAATTAGGTCAGTACTTCAGTTTCATCAAATGAAAGATAGTGTATTATAGTGTCAAGCACACTTAGGTGCAGTAATCGGGGGTAGAAAATTGTTTCATGAACTTTTTACCTGGGATAACAAGATACCCACATACTTGTCCTGTGTATTTCATTGGTATGACAACTATGACTGCTGTTTTTGTTGCTGCGATGAAATTGTGTTTTAGTGCCTGACATCAGAGTAATTTCAGGTAGTGGCAGATTTCTCTTATGGCTAGCCAAAAGGAACATTGGTTCTAATAATTATTTGGGACTTGAAATACGCAAAAAAGTATGGGATTAGACATCTGGGCTACTTCTTTGGACTTTTGTTTTAGCTGCATCTTATTGAACATAATGGATATATGGTTACTCTGGGAAATTTCTCTACATGCAGTTGGTAAAGCGGTCGAATTTTTGGGCAAAAGAACTGAGTCTTTCTAATACGTAAGATTCTGAGACTTGTATGGAATTTTGATTGTATGAATTGTTCACTGACTAATTATGCTGTACTTATGCTTCAGACATTTCATGTTTGCGAATGCTACAACATCTTTCCAGCAGCTGGCATCCTCTTATCCTGGACCATTGGTGTTGGTTTCGATCCTGGTGAGTTGATCTTATCTCAGTATGCTTTCCTTACGTTATAGCTGCATTGCCTATTAATGTCATTGCATTGTTCTGTCATATAAGAGCTTCTTCTGAGTAAACTTGGTCTGTTATTGGTCTTATTGGTTGCAGTGTCCAGATCCTCACTTTAAGAAAAGGCACCATAAGAGAAGGGTTTTGCAGAAGCCACTGGTTGACTCCATTCTGGACAATCTAACATCAGGTGGACAGGTAAATTTTGTCTAGCATAGCTCATACAGCATAGGCAATGGATACCATTACATTGTTTATTGTCAATTATCCCAATGGCCTGATTGCTAAGACCATAACCCAATTCGCAATATATGTTCAGGGTCACAATCATATAATTATGTCTACGTAATGAAACCTTAGGGAAATTTAGTTTTATGGCATCATTTATAACACTATGAAACGATTTTTTCGAACATAGTAATTTTTTTTAATTTAAATTTAGGATACTTGGAATTGCAAATTAGGTGAATTGTTTAACCATGGTGGTGACATTTAATACTTTGGTTTTATTTTCTATTTATCTCTTGCACTGCTTAGACTTTGCCTTTCTTTGCTACCTACTAGCCCAAAGTCTGAATCTTCCCACACCATGCCTGTGGCCTGTAGGGGATTCAGAGTTCGTGGTGGCAGCGTTGCTGTTATTGCTTTTACCTGTCCTTGAATACTGCTTTTTACCTATACATGATTACATGGTCAGCTTGCACAGCTCCCACTACATCTGGATTGGATCATTTGTAGGCAAGTTTAAAGGTTAGGATATTGATCACTTCTTGGATTAGTGAAGTTGGAGGGGATCGATGCAGAAAGGGTTAGTATATATATTTTCTCAAAAGTGGAGAGTCTGAAACCTGATTAAGCTTTGAGAGAACTTTTTGGTGGAGATTGACCCTTCTACAGATACTTAACTACTGTACTATGGGGATACTTCTGCTTCTTTGTGGTCCTCAAGTAGAATAATTTGATTACAAGATCCTCAATAGCTATAAAACTTGTGCAATGCACGAGATGAGGGGCAAAAACAGCTATATAATGCACTCTTTTAAGACCTTAAAGTATCATCTTTCTTTAAAATTTCACCTTCTTTCCCTCTACCCAAAATTTATTTCTCTATTCCTAAAATTTATTTTAAGGTTAGGAGATGGGGCGTGAATTTATCCTTCTACTTAGGTTATTGTAGATTTCTCCAGCATTCACCAACATTTGTTTGCTTATTTCAATGCCAATCTGCTAGCTGTGCTTTTCAAGTCTCTTTGAATGATAATTTCTTAGCTTGATATCCATATCACAGCCCAGCTTTAGTCAACTGTTTGGCTTCTATTTTCATGCTTCAATCCAAAACAGGTATTTGTGCAATCTGATGTGCATGAAGTGGCAGTTGACATGAGAAATCAATTTGATAGCGTGCCAGATATGCTACACATTGATGTCATTGACCCTAATTTTGGTTGTGATCCTGATGGTTGGCTTCTAAATAATCCAATGGGGATAAGGACTGAAAGAGAGATTCATGCTGAACTTGAAGGTGCTAAAGTGTATAGACGAATGTATCAGAAGGGCACATAATATTATCAGTGGTTGAAGCCTGCATTATGCTCATTCTTATGACCCGCATATATACGGATGATACAGTAGAAGCTTTTCTTTTACTAGGCACTCTGTTTGCTAATTCTCCGGCTTACACTGCAGTTAGCTTGATTATACTCCCTCTTTCCCTTATTTTTTTTGCACCATGGATCCACTTTTTGTGAGAGCTTTTTGGGGTCAAATGGTGCAAAAAATAAGGGACAGAGGTCACAAGCAGAATTTTACTTTTGAGTCTGTTTTAGCTTTTTAGGAAGTAAGTTTGCATTACAGAAAGCTTGTACCTGTATTCACTAATGTATCTGTTACTTTTGGTCTTTTATTAAAGATTTGTTTTTGCAATCCTATGCATTTTGAACACATTTGTCCCACAACTCCACAAGCCATGATATATGAAGATGGCATCCGTGATTTAAATTTTTGGTGAAAACTGCAATGGCTTTGCCTCCGTTTCTAAGATTTGGATTCATGACTACGTGTTCAATACTAAAGAATATACTGGTGCAGTGGTGCAGAACACTTCATAATCTTCAGGATTCCTGTTTCTTTTTATACAGAGAACTGTTATATTCTTGGGCACAGTTTATGAATCCCCCGAAAACAATTTTAGGAGCTCCTGAATGATCTCTCAATAATTTCTATACCAATATAGCCTACATTGAAAAAATCCCATAATTTCCCATCATATGTAATCCAACTTCATAAATTTGTTGCGGGATTCCAATAACAATCCTGATCCCAAACTCACTAACAATGTTTTATCAATGTCAATTCTATGTGTTTAATAAATAATCAACAAGAATACAAATATTTTGCACCAAAAATGCCACTAAGCATTTCAAAGCCAAAAAGTTACCTACTGATACAATTATGCCAAGTTCTAAGACTTCTAACAACACAAATGACAAAAAAAAAAAAAAAAAAAAAAAAAAAAAAAAAAAAAAACACACAAAGTTCCCAAATTAAAACACGAAATGAGATACACTCATACAAGTCTAATTTAGGTGTTGTAGATTAAACAAAAAAGGTCCTATAAAATTCTAAGTATCAAGGCAACATAATGCAAACAATGTTAAAACTTAAAACAACATAGCCAAAATTTTGCTACAACAAAAAAAAAAATCTGAAGTACTGTTTTTTAGCTACTCTTCTCACCTTCAAGCTTCTTCTTGGCCTTCTGAGCTGCATTTGCTTGTGAATACAAGAACGTTCCGAAGATGGCGATGGCGGAACCTAGAGCATTAAGAGGCCTAACAGGGTTCCTGAAGACCAAAACAGTTGCCACAATAACAACCACCCTCTTCATAGTATTGCCCACTGAAAAGGTAAGTGGGCTAATCTCATCTAATGCTTGGTAAGATGACTGATTATAGAGGTGATAAAACACCCCAGATATCAAAACCCAAATATACAATGTCATTGGATTACCAATTGATTCGATCGCTTTGTGATAGCCTTGAACCCATTGAGGCCCTTCCACGAAACAAGCAACCGGAAACAAGTAGAAAAAAGAGATTATACTAATCCAACCATACAAATTCAATCCATCAACCTCTTTAAAACTCTGTAAACTCTTCTTAGAGTAAATATTTCTCAGTACAAAACCTACATTACTAATCAAAGCACCCCACAACCCTTGCAAATTAAAGGACACCTCGGTGACCGCGGCAAGGGAGCACCCGAATACAATGGGGAGGATTGAAAGCCATATCGAAACAGGGTACGATTCGCCTAAGAAAGTGGAGAAGATCACAGAGAAAACAGGCTCAGAGGACTTGATCACATGAGTGAATGAAACAGCCACCTTAGAAAAGGAGACACAAGCAGAGATATGACCAATGGTGTGAAAAAGTGCAGGACCAAGAAGTGCTAAAATGAAGGGTTTGGTGATTTTTGGAGGAGTTTGAAGCTTAAATGACCAAAGAGATAGCATCCAAATTGAACCCACAAAAAGTTGGAAAGAAGCTAAAAGCCAAGGAAAAGGGAAAATGTTCAAAGCTTTTTTGTTATAAATGTTGAAAACAATGTTTTGGAAGTACCATAGCCCAAAAACAAGAGCAAGTTTTAGGGTTTTTGATTTGGGATTTGATTCATTGGATTCAGAGGGTAAAGATTCAGGGGAGGTTGAAGATGAACAATGTGGGATCAAAAAATGGGATCTGGGTTTGGTGGGTAGTTTTGAATTTGTAAATGGGGTTGAAAGATTTCTGGGATTAGATTGAAAATGAATAAATTTTGGGGATGAATTTGCTGAATTTCTGAGTTTGAGAGTTGAAATTGGGGGAAGGAGAGAAGAAGGGTTTTTGAAGGGTTTAAGAGAGTTGTTGAGAGGAGAGAGAGAAGAAGAGGGTAGCAGATTTAAAGCTAGCATTTTTGTGGGAACTACTGTAACAGGAGAGAGAAAGAGGTGAGAGAGGAGAGAGAAAAAGTGAGGTGATAAAAGTGAATGGTGGAGGTGATGACACAGATTAGGAACTCAATCTAAGGAAAGTTTTAGACGTTTAGGGCTTTTGTTTGTAACTTTTGTACTTGTATTGACTTTGTGTGGGCTTGAAATAAGATATGAATGCTGGACCAGGTGTGGCATCAGAATTGCCTAATGGGTTTCGTGTGAGTTTGATTGTAGTAAGTGCTCCTACGGTGAAATTTGTTTGAGTTGGGTTATTTGAGAATAGTATCGTAAAAGTTGTGTGTTTTTATTTTATATCGAAGAAAAATTGTAAAATTTGCTTTATTGATAAGGATTTATGCAAGATCGAAAAGAGTTTAATCTTTCAGCTACAATAAACTGATATGAGTAGAATCTTTCGTTGAGAAAGGTTGTAAAACACGTCGATATGAAAATGGTATAACGAATGTTTGATATGTGTGGCAATTATGGCTTTGTTAAATGGAACTTTTTATTTGATTCAATTGTTATGTTTTTGTAGATTTAAATCTCTTTAGTAAAATGATTATTTTATTAATATTCGGTGAATCAATCCTAGTGTTAAACTAATGCAAAATATTGTTAGCTTTCTACAACATATAATTCTAACATTGAAAAAACGGTAATTTTCTAACAGTTTTTATCGATGAAGTTTGTGTGTTGGCAAGAATGAAAATGTATAACGTATACAAGTATATGAGTAATTAATAGGGCCTTAATTAGCCATATGTCTTATAACACAGATGTTCTTATGAACATATATATGCATAATGATATTTTAAGGGTGTAGTGGATGATCAATTAGTTATTTTTTTTTATTTTTTATTTTTTTATTTTTTTTTTTACGGATAGTTTAATTGGTTAAAGTCTTGACCTGAGATCAAATTATGTCTTGTTTGTCCTCGTGGCTCTCTCCACACATAAAATAAAAAAATTTAAAAAAAAATTAAAAAAAAAAACGGGTGCAAAAAAAATAAATTTGTTGTTATTTTTGTGTGGTGTGATATTAGAGTATGTACTATCTCTATTTGAAATTATTTGCAATAGGTAGACATTTTTTCTCACACTTTATGTTAAATCGTTGCAAATAATTTGAAGCGGATGTAGTAGATCATTTGTACCATTGATGTCATTGTACAGTTGTGGGACTCGTGGCCTAGAGGGCTAGAGGAAGGGATAACACCTTCTAACATTGATGTTGAGTGTTTAGTTCCCAATAACCACATTTTAAGGGTGCAAATTTACCTTACAACAATATTAAAAATACTGTTAATTAACAACCCTTTCAAAACTATGGAGTATGAGAAACTTAATTTACATCGCCCTATTATTAAAATTCCAAACAAAACTTACCAAAGACATGAATAATAGTATAATACTAGGGAGTAGGGACAACAAGACTGAAGACAATTTGATATTATTTCCTTCATTACATTTTATTAAAAAATAAATGAGTAAATAAAGACAACAATACGTTCACATAAATACACAATATTCCGTAGTAAATAACTTGGATTAAATTCAACAAATGTAATAGGAGAAAGCATGAGAATTAACATCATTACATCAAAGTAATGATATCATTTACTAAGTGATAGAGTTAAATATTTGAAGGAACAAAGTAGATAATAATTAAGGAAGCAATTTGAAAGATAAACCAGAGCCATCAAGTTTTTCTTTCATGAGTTTATTCATCTTTTCGACCAAGGCGGGTGAGAAATGATTGGTCCAATCTCCGACCTCTCCTTTCCTAAAATAGCTCTTCTTCTCAAAGAACTTGTTAATTACACCACTCTTATTAACCTCCTTCATATTCTTAATGTTGCATAATTCTATAATTTGAGTTATGACATCTTCACTTTCTTCTTGGGGAGAAAAAGGCATACCTATAAATTCAGCCACCCTCTTCAAGTGAGGTTTGAGATCATCTTTTAAGTCTTCGTACTTAAGAAATAACACTTTATCAGGTCGCTCTAAACTCATGTTCCAAAATTCAAGAACATGCTCGAAATAGGGCCCACCCGTGAATTTTCCTTCACAAAAGTCTTCAAAAAAATTCTCAAGAGATTTTACAATATCTTCATTTTCTATCTTTTTCGCATACTCCAAGACGAAGTAATAGAATGAAACAAGAGTGTCCAAAGGGTTACGAGAAATATACAGAATCCGACACCCAGAAGTCTTAATAGACTCCGGAAGGGATGTGTAGGGGACATGAGTGCTAAGAAGCCTAGGTGACTTAAGTTCATTAAGATGATGTGGTTGAGGATAGGCAAAGGCTTGGTTATACCAATCATTCTCAAGGTTGTACACAAGTTCTTGTGGATGATGGGTGAGTAAAGGACTATGATCAATAGGATGATTTGCGCGTTTAACAATTCCAAAGAGTAGAGATTTTAACCAAGTTGTGCCGGTTTTTGGAAATCCGGCAATGAATAAATCACTATCACGAGCAATAAAACGTTTTTGAAAGGTGAGGACATTTCTCAAGGTTGCTAAATCATGCAAGTAGCAAAACCCCTCATACTTAACTACTAAAAAATGAAGGTGTGCCCTTCATGGTACACTTTGGAAGGGTTTGAATCAATTTTTGAACTTCTCCTTCATGGACGTATATATCGTCCATTTTATCTTTTTGATTTATAGTGAATAAGTTTGTATTAGGAATTGAAATGAGATACTATGAAGAAGATGGTAATTTGTATATGTTTGATTTCTCACCACACCAGCTCTTTAAGTATATATATTCTCAATAGAAACCATCTAAATCTTATCTTAAATAAAAATAAAATCAAATCAAATCTGGTCCATAATCCATTGTACATTTGTACTAGAGTATAAGCATGCACGTTACGAGTACTAGACTTGAGAAAAGACTTATAGCACTCACATGCAAAAATGCAATTGTCCATTTGTCCTTCAGTTTTTGTAAACTACGGAGGGATTCTCTAACTCAAATAATCTATTATAGCACTCAAAGTACTTTCGAGGGATTTTCTGACTCAAATAATCTGAGTCATTAATGACTCTAATACCATGACGTTGGTATTAAATTGTGTTTAGATGTTATCATCTAGATACTCACAATGAATTATATCAATACCAACAAAACAATTTTGCATGCGTTGGTACTATTAAACCAGTATTTTGGTATCATGATAATCTAATATAAAGTATAATTTAATACCAATGAGTGTTATTAGAGTCGTTCATGACTCAAATTATTATAGGTAGAAAATTCCTCAAGTACTTCCTCTAATTTTTTCTTTTACTTGACTTGTTTTATTTACACCCTTTATATTTTAATAAGTGGTCTATTTTTCTTAGCATATAGTATCAAGAGGAAGAGTAAAATACATTAATTTATTATTGAAGTGAAGTAGGTTAAAATTAAAAAATAAATATACATATAAAATACATTTGGAGTGGCTCTGCTATTTCTTTCCCTTGAGGTATAAATTAAAGCACTTGTTAAGGGCTTGTTTTATTTCATCTTATTTTTGTTTATTTAAACTTATCTGATCTGATCTTATCTGGTCTGGTCTGATCTGATTTTCTGATATAAAGAAAAATTATATCAAGTGGGATTTTGTTCGATTCGTAATAATGTGTATTTTATTAATATGTGATTTTTATAATTTTTTCCATTACGAAATTAAAGATATTTAGCAATAAAAAACTGAACATAAAACGATGACCTGATCAGAACTTATTTTTTCTAAAATAAGTAAAAATAAGTTGAACTAAACAAGGCCTAAGTTGTTATGTCCATATATATAAATATATAATTGGCCTAACTCCTTTGGGTTTTTTTAACGTTGACAATTAGATATATTAATTGTTAAAATTATGTGTTGGAATACGTGATAATATAAAACAAAGGTAACAACTAAAAAACCGAAGTACTACTGATTGACTAATTGTCAAGAATAATTTATTTTCCATGTAGTAGGTTTAAACAGAAATCAATAGTGGTTGATTTGTTGTGACATCAAAGATCTTGTCGACAATTTATTAACAAGGGAAAATTCATTAGCTAAAAGTTGGTGATACATTAAGGCATGATATTAGATTTTGTCTATATAATGTCCTTTGTAGCTCCTTTGATTTCTCATTGATTAAATAATTTAAACCAAATCAAATATAATGATCAAACAATATTTCCTTGCATCAATTGAAAATATAATAATGAAAATTACATGTCTTAAATTGGATATTTGTAAAAACATTATTGAACTGATAAATTGAAGCGGAAAGATCAAACCTAAGCTACCATCACTTAATTTTGATACTAGTATATACTTGTACCAAGCATTTGTCCGGAAGGATAAGTGGGAGATTGAAAGGAGTGGTGTCCTTCGAACAAGTGTATTATTTCGATAGAGGGTTCGGAATTATTAGAAAGCTAATTATTTAGTGAGGTTGATTTATCGGAATGCCTAGCTGGAGGGCGCTTCCGATTAGTAATATTAATGCATAATTAATATTACAGCTTAATTTGAAACCTTTTGGGTCACACCCAATTGAGTAAACCGAGCGGATTCCGAGCTTAAAGCATCAGAAACCGAGTGTCGTAAGTCGAGTCAAATTTAGGAATCGACGAGACGAGAAGTCAAGCAAACAACAAGTTACAAATATAGCCCTAGCGTCGGAATGGCCCGAGCAATCCGAGGGCTGGAGCAATATAGCTAGCCAAGGCCATTACCGCAAGGCAAGGCTCGTCCGCAAGCTCAGCATGCCATTTCACAGTTTTGGTTTGTATATTCATAATGATACCATGAGCGCTTTAGGGCGTCCTCAAGATATGTTTTCAGATACCGCTATACAATTACAACCTGTCTTCGCTCAGCTGGCCGCATATACTAGGCGAGCTAGCAGCACCAGTCGCACCATCGCGAGGAAAGCAGCACGCAAGTGCTTGCTGGGCATCGCACATAGTCGCAGCGAGTGTGCGAACTCGCTAGCAATAGCAGTGCACGACCACGCATAGCAGCCCGCATCAGCAAGGCTTGCTATTGTGGGCTGATGCGAAGGCCTTGCGCACGAGGTAGCAGCGTGCTAGGTTGCGCTTAGCACGAGCATCGCAGCAGCAGCACACAATGCGTGTGTGGGCTGCAGGCTGTGTGTGCTGAGCTGCGTGCATGCACAATACCCAGCTAATAGGCCCAGCCAAAGGGCCAGACCGCCAACGAGGCAGCCTTGGCGCCTAAGGCTGGCAGCACCAGCTGGGGCGCAAGCATTGGCCGTGTGTGGGGAAGCTGGTTTGTGTGGGTTG